GGCAGTGTTTCAAAGTATAAAGTTTTTCCTACCATAGTTTTCCAAAATCTGGAAACGTTCTGGATTTGTCCCTTTGGATCCACGGAACAATTATGTTAGTTGAACAGCCCATTCAATACAATTGTGCAATGCTCTGGATTTAAGGAAATTCAACATGGACACATTTGTCATAACTATCAGAATCCCTTAAATCAGTCACACTTTTCCTGGCATTTCAAGTGTAGAAAAAAGTTTATTAATAGAGTGGAGGACAGGTGTGACATGCATGTGCTTACATACTCCAAATCCCTTATTCCATGTGCATCTGAACCACTGCAGAATCTTAATGCTTAACATCAAAGTTATTGAGTGAATGCTTGAGAAAGTGGAAAGAGGCATAGTTGTAACTACATGGCTTAATGTAAAATCAAATTAATCCCATTTAACTCAAATTATTTGCAAACACCACTTAATGTTTGTCTCTTCACTGAATCTTGCATATACCGGTATTAGCTGATACACTACTACATGAATATGAAAATGTATTTAACTGCATAAGCAGACAGTTGGCAGACTGAAAATCCCACCTTTATCTGCTTTAGTCAGATGCCAATTAATTCAGTAAATCAGACCATCCCAGTTGTCTAGCTGTACTCTAAATTTCAGAAGACCTCACAGTTCCAGAGAACCTTGCAGATTCAAAGAAACTGGAAAAAAATTCAGAAAAAGAACAGTAGGACGATCATGCATTAGAAACTTAAACCCTATGAAAAGAAACTGAAAGAGCTAGATATATTTTATCTTGAAAAAATAAAACTCAAGCTAGCACTCTTTAACATCCAAAATAATTCTGATAATAGGGGGAAAAAATCTAGTTTTTCTTGTTTCATAACACAGGACATGGAATAACGGTATACGATAAGAAGGCACATCTTTATTAAACACGGGGGGGGGGGGGTCTGGTTACAGTAGTTCAACAGTGAATCATTTATCTAGAAATAAGATTGATTCCTTTCATAGGTTATGTTCAGATAAGAACTAGACATACATTTGTCTGGACTGCTTGAACTCTGAATTCCTCCCCGAGCCTCAAATTGGATTACATAGTCTAATTGTATCCTTCTAGTTCTACAATTCATCCCTCATCAATTCACTGTGCAGGGCATGTAGAAAGTGAAGTGTCTTCCTCTTATCTAGCAATCTCGTAAAGGGAAGGCTTATAAAGGCCAGCAGGTTTTTTTCCCCAACCCAGCAGAGAAATCAGAAAGGCTGTCAGAAGACAGAGGGTGTAATTTCATCTTTCCCCTTCCAGTTGTCTTTTTGATACTGGTTAGAAAAAAAAAGTTGGCCATTTTCTTCCTAAACAAATATATGGAAAAGTGACTGATTTACTTTTAGTTCATCAGTCTGCTTGACAGAAGTTTTTTTTTTAGCGTAGCCTGCTAATTTTCTGATCTATCCATTTAGATAACCCATAAAGTAAAACAGACAGTAAATGTAGCACCATGGAAAGCTCCTAATGAACATTTTACTTTAGAAGATATTAGAAACAAACTGAAGTCTTACACACACACACAGATCTATTCTTAAAGAGTGAACATTCATAAATTGCCAACCTGCTCCCTGAAAATGGAGGACTATCTTGTTTCTGATTTTTTTTTTACCTCAAGTATGAAGGATACGTAACTCCGTAAGTCCTGCAGATCCTGTTTACTAGCTTCTTGTGAGATATTCTGCAGGATCACAAGCACCTACTCCTCTTCCTTCTCCTAAGCTTTGAAACTTAAGCCTGCAGGCATGTCAGCTAAGAAACAAGTTGCTTCTTAGTAGGATAGTCTAGTCTCATACAAGGTAGCAGCAGTCAACGATCATGTAGGAAATCATTGAAACTAAAAAGAAAAACCTGTACATATTTGCAGACCAGAGTAAGAAAATTCTGAAAGCTAAAATATGTATCATATAGTGAGTGAATAAATGTGCTGGGAAGGGATATTGTACACTTTTTTCTCCGGGCAAACTAGAGAAAGGGAAGGGGACAGAAAGAAGTTGAAAGACAGAATAAACCTTTTTTTTTCCTTTGGTTTGTGTGTGTGTGTGTGTGTGTGTTTGTATGTGTGTTGCTCTGTAAAGAGAAGCAAAAGTAAAATATTCCTCCTTCGCAGAAGCTTAGGAGCTCAGCCATAAGTCTGGTGAGACATTCTAAGGAAAGGCTTTGCTGTCTTCTGCTACCATCTAGTGGTTTGCAAGGGAAAAAAATTTAAATGCAAATCTCTCCTATATGGTACTCAGATCAGCATTACCCACATTTAATAAATAAAATATACTAAAAATGAGACATATCTTTCTAAAAAGATACCAAATGTGTTACAATGCATCCCTGCTGTAAATATTTACTTTGGAATATTTACAATGTTTGGAAATGAAAAGGCAATCATCAGGAAAAGCATTGGATATTGTTTTCATGTTGCAATAATTTTTAGCTCTTTCCTTGATCATCTCCAGATTACTTTTCCAATACAGTAGGCAAACAGAACTCTTGTAACAAAAATGCATCAAGACTACATCAGACTACACTCAAGCATATTCTCTGCTCATTGTTAATCTTAGAATGGTGACTGCTCTAACTTTTGCAGTAGTTTTATGAATGGGCATGAGGAATTCCTTGCCCTGCCTGTTAACAATACTGTTAGTTTCAGTATCATTGGCATTGGGATTTTCCTGTGTATTTTCCTGTGTTCCCCAAAGATGTCAGAACGAAAACTGTCACTGTCACTTATATTAGGGAAACTCTAAGAATCTATCTGTACCATCAGTTTCTGGCCCTGACTCCAAAGAGACCGAACCCTAAGCCTAAACCTAGTTTCATTTCACTGGCAGTGGGATTTTCCCATGTATTTTACTGTGGTCCACAAAGAAGTTCGAACAAAAAGCTGTCACCATCCCAGAGGTGGGTTTCAGCAGGTTCTGACCAGTTCTGGAGAACCGGTAGCGGAAATTTTGAGTAGTTCGGAGAACTGGTAGTAAAAATTCTGACTGGCACCACCCCCATCTATTCTCTGCCTCCCAAGTCCTAGCTGATTGGGAAGAAATGGGGATTTTGCAGTAACCTTCCCCTGGAGTGGGGTGGGAATGGAGATTTTACAGTATCCTTCCCCTGCCACGCCCACCAAGCCACGCCTACCAAGCCATGCCATGCCCACCAAGCCACACCCACAAAACCGGTAGTAAACATTTTTGAAACCCACCACTCCACCATCCCTTATCTTAGAGAATCTCTAAGAATCTATACCTGAGATCAGTTTCTGACCCGGATTACAAGGAGACCTAACTCTAACCCTAGTTTAACTATCTTTGGCAATAGGAATTTCCCATGTATTTTACTTTGTTTCCCAAACATGTCTGATTGAGGAATAATTTTATCCGGTTTTTTTGAGGAAGACAGATTGGTTTTGGAGATTGCATTTATTGTTTTCAATCAATCAGCAATTGATAAGAAATGGTATAAAGAAACAAACATGGATATTTGATCCAGGATCAATTAAAGTTAATATTTGGGATGATTTGTGATTTAAGCTGTGGTAAATTTTCTAGGAGTTGATCACAATAGTTTGTTAACAGAGGGTTTTGGAATTTCAATCTTGTCTCTCTCTTATTATTGCTTACAATTTTTATTACATTTATACTTTTACATAATATGTTTATTATTATTACTTTTTGTGTTCATTATTTTGTTATTAATATAGTTTATAGATGACAGGCTAACAATTTGTAAGTAGATTTAGTAGTTTAATAGTAAAATTATTTTGGCCTGTTTTGCAAGGGGTGGGAAACCAACATTGCTGTATTATATTAAACAGCATTCAACTAGGGAGGATAGTCTTTTTTTTTTAAAGACACTTTTTATTTTTAATGTTTTTGTTGGGTTTTTAATTTTTTTTGTCCTTTTTTGAATATTTTGGCATTTTGTATTTTAACCTTCTTTGAATAAACTAAACAATTTTCACACAAAAAAGCAGCTGCTGAGATCAGGTTTTATCAATAACCTCTCATACAGAAAATGGATTTCAACAAAGAAAAAAATCTGTTACCATGTTCATTGACCTATGATACAATCTGGAGAGAAGGGATGATTTTAAATATTTTATGTATCGTATCTTGTAAGAAACAATATGCTTTTAAACAGATACAGCAAAGTATATTTAGATGTCCCAATTAGACAGAAATATAGGTTAAATGACAGCCTGCCACAAGGTTCTGTGCTGACACCACTAATTTTAATATTTATCCATCAGATTTCCAGGCACTGCTGAAAGAAAGTTTATATATGCTGATGACATCACATTGATAAAACAATCTGAAGATTTCAATACCTCTGAAAAAGCCGTCAAAAATTATTTAAAGGAAATGGATATGTTTTTTTGAAATCTGAAGACTAAAATCTAATATCAACAAGACTGAAGTCACCTGTTTTCACTTGAACAACATAAAAAATACACCAAAATTTGGTGTATTTGCATGCAAAATTTGCATGTTAACTGCTGTAAACTTTGATTGTTATAACAGTTGGATGTGAATGAAAGAGAGATAGAAAACAAAAATTTTAAAGAGCCTGTTTTTCTTTTGTTTTGTAAATTGTATTTCCTTGTAGGTCTGATATGATCCTTCCCAAATTATTGTCAGAAAAATATGATTACGTATTTAAGACAATCAATGTTTAAGAGAGCTGGGTCTAGTGCTTAAGGCACCAGGTTAGAAAGCAGGAAACTGAGCCTAATCCCTGTTTAGTCATGAAAGCTAGTTGGGAAACTTTGGACCTGCTTTCTCATTCCAACACATCTCACAGGATTATTCTTGAGGGGAAATTAGGAAGAGAAAGGAATATTAGGTATGTTAGGAATATGAGTTATTTATAAAAACAGTAAAGGCTGGATATATAAAATAAACAAAGTGCTTTCATTTTTCATAAACATAACAGAGAAGATACATCAAATTATAAAAAAAAAATTGCCTAATGTACTTACCATTCTGTTCCTCTAATTCATTTCCAATTTCCTGTCCCATTTGTTTTTGGCGAGATAAGATTGAAGAGAGTGCATCAAGACCAGCATCTTGCTCTATACAAGAAAGAAAAACAAGCTCAATGAATATAAAAATCAAGTTAATAAATCCTAGATTTATACATAAAGATTACTGAGGAAATGCCCAAAATTAGGTTTAAATGAAAGAAAACCTGCTAATGGCTGGATAATAAATTGAAAAGTCAAATCTTAATATACTAGAACAAATAAATACAAGCTGTTAAGTTGACTGCCAGAACAAAAAAAATCAAGCACCAACATCTTAGATAACTCATGACAAAACAAATACTACAAAAATGATATATGGATACTTATTTTAAGGACGATTTAAAGACACCTCCTCCCCAAAAATTCAAATTGGAGGATTTTTGAATCAGCTACAAAATTAATACAAAAGTTGACAAGATAAAACAAGGAAGGAAGGATTTACCTTCTATAATTCTCTGTTGTTGCTGTCGGATATCATGGAAGTCAAGCCCTTTCGTTTCCTCAGGCTCCTCCACAAGCCATGGATTTGTTATTTCTCTTCTGACCCCGCCTGCCATTAGGCTAGACCTAAAAATGGGTTATTTAAAAACAAATTAATGCTCCTATCACTGGCAGGATTCTGATTGTGCTGGTCTCATATTTAGACTAAAGCAAAGAACATAGGTATACAGTGGAGATCTATTTGGGGGATCAATGTAAAAACATTGATAATAATCAGGTATCAAGTGACCCCCAAAGGGGAAAGCAATTTAGTATTTAATTCAGAAGGAGCATCTGTAAAAGGTCTCATTTTTTTATATTTTAACACTTTGGGGCATTCTTTTCCATATCTCCTTTAAAGTTGTTAGGGAGTGCAACAACAACCAAAAAAACAAAAACAAAGAAAGAAACATAGAAAACAAACTAATTTAATTTCAAGAATCTTTGTCAATTTTGTCTCCAGACTTAGCAAAAATTCTCATTAAAAATCTCACAATCCAAAAACAGCACAAGGCAATGGAAAAGAAAAGCAAAAAAATTCATTTTCAACAATACTACCCTAAATTCCTATACAGTCTTAAAATCAAATGGAAAACATGCAATGCATGTGATGCTCAAATAAGCATAATATCCATTAGCCTTGTACCTTTACTTCCAAATAAGCATGCATAGGATAAGACTGAAGCTTCCTTTCTGACGCCATGATAGTAATATTTCAAATTTTCTATCAGCTAGAGAAACACAATTTTATTATTTGTTAGCATGTGGCAGCTTCATTGCCTAAAATGAAGCTGCAGTTACAGCTCATACACTTCTATGTCTCATATAATACTGGTATTTTCTTTTTTGATTCTATCTTTGAAAATCTTTGAAAAGAGCCTACACCCCTGCTACCCCCTGAAGCCACCTGCACATCTGCCCTACCCAGCAGCAATCACCCCTGGCCCTGACATACTTGTGCCACAGCTCAATAGACACCCATAAATCCTTGTGCAATTCCAGCCTGATTACACTTGTGCCAACAACTCACCCACCTATCTGGAATAGGTAGAATTCAGATATAAATGATTCATATGTATCTACTGAAGGATTCACAGTTTACTTTGGAAAGCTTGTACTACAATGAATTAGTCACACTTAAAAATACTAGAGCATTAGCAGCAGATTAGAACAATAGCTGTTCTACAAATCCAGACTACTTTTGGTTCCTTTACAAACTCAGATGAAACCAAGCCTCAAGGCATGGAAATCTAAGCACTTATCTGGAGGTAATTAGAGCTTCAGAATCTATGTACTACAGTACTAAAATTCTTCATTCCTTTATATGAACAAAACAGTGCACCATAAGGCTAAGACTCGTTGTCATGGGGGATTTCAACCTGCAATCCGTCGGTGAGATGTCAGAGGCAGCTAGGGAGTTCATGACTTCCATGATGGCCATGGACCTGACCCAGTTAGTTCAAGGCCTCACTCACACAGGAGGACACACTCTGGACTTGATTTTTGTGTCTGGTCAGTGGTTGAATGATCTAGGAATAGGGGATTTAGATATTAAGCCCTTGTCATGGACTGATCATTCCCTCCTTCACTTAGACTTTTGAGCCGCTTCCCATCACCGCAGGGAGACGGAACCGACCAGGTGGTTCCGTTCCAGGCACCTGATGGACCCTGATAGGTTCCTGAGGGAGCTTGGGCCATTTCCTGAGACTTTGGCACACGACTCGACTGAAGACCTGGTGGCCGCCTGGGATAGGGCGGCCGCCAGGGCTTTAGACCGCGTTGTGCCTTTGCGGCCTCTGACCCAATGTCGATCTCAATTGGCTCCTTGGTTCTCCGGGGAGCTGAGAGAGATGAAACGTCGGAAAAGACACCTAGAGAATGTCTGGAGGACTAGTCAATCTGATTCCGACCAAACACTGGTGAGGTCTTATATCAAGACCTACCTAGCGGCAATAAAAGCGGCAAAATCTAACTATTTTTCCGCTCTTATCGCATCTGCAGAGAACAGCCCAGCCGCTCTGTTTAGGGTGACCCGTTCCCTTCTTCGGGGGGGGGAGCGCGGGAAGACCCCTTGCAGGGTCGAGTTGAGGAGTTTGTGCAGTTCCTGCATGATAAAGTCACTCGGATTCAGGAAGGCTTGGACTCCGACTGGGTGAGTCCGGGGGGGAGATGGAGGTAGGTCTTGAGAACATTATCTGGGAAGAGTTTGACCCTGTAGCTCCCAAGGACGTGGACAGGATTCTGGGTAGGCTTAGTGCTGCCACGTTTATTGGACCCGTGTCCCTCCTGTTTGGTACTGGCCTCCCGGGAGGTTACACGAGGCTGGCTCCAGGGGATTATAAATGCTTCTCTGAGTGAGGGGACCTTTCCTGCCGCCTTGAAGGAGGCGGTGGTGAGGCCCCTCCTCAAGAAGCCTTCCCTGGACTTGGCTGTATTAGCAAATATCCGTCCGGTCTCCAACCTTCGCTTTGTGGCGAAGGTTGTTGAGTGTGGTGGCACAACAGCTCCCCTAGTACCTGGATGAAGCTGTCTTATCTGGACCCTTACCAGTCGAGCTTCAGTCAGGGGTACAGCATGGAAACGGCATTGGTCACATTGGTGGATGATCTCTGGAGGGCTCGGGACAGAGGTTGTTCCTTGTTCTGGTCCTATTAGATCTTTCAGCGGCTTTTGATACCATCAACCATGGTATCATGCTGCAGTGGTTGAGAGGGTTAGGAATAGGAGGCACCATGTTGCGGTGGTTCTCCTCCTTCCTCTCCGACCGCTTGCAGTTTGTGTTGGCAGGGGAGCAGAGGTCGACCTCGAGGCGCCTCGCTTGGGGGGGGCCACAAGGTTGGTCCTCTCGCCCCTTCTGTTCAACGTTTATGTGAAGCCGCTGGGTGAGATCATCCGTGGTTTTGGGGTGAGGGTACATCAGTACACTGATGACACTCAGCTGTACATCTTCACCCCAGACCACCCCAATGATGCCCTTGACGTGATGTCCCGCTGCCTGGAGGCCGTACGGGTCTGGATGGGGAGAAATAGGCTCAGACTCAACCCTTCCAAGACTGAGTGGCTGTGGCTACCGGCGTCCCGGTATAGTCAGTTGACGCCATCGCTGTCTATAGGGGGTGGATCTCTACTCCCCACAGAGAGGGCTCACAATCTGGGCATCCTCCTGGATGCACGGCTGTCTTGAGAAGAGCATATGACGGCCATGGCCAGGGGTACTTTCTATCAGGTTCGCCTGATTCGCCAGTTGTGTCCCTTTCTGGACTGGGACGCCTTGCGCACAGTCACTCACACCCTTGTTACCTCCCGGCTGGACTACTGTAATGCTCTCTACATGGGGCTCCCCTTGAAGAGCACTTGGAGGCTCCAACTGGTCCAGAATGCGGCCGCGCGGGTAATTATGGGTGCAACTCGTTGCGCCCATGTAACACCTCTCCTGCGCGAGCTGCACTGGCTCCCAGTGGTCTTCCGGGTGTGATTCAAGGTGTTGGTTACCACCTATAAAGTGCTCCATGGCTCAGGACCACCTTCTGCCACCAATAGCCTCCCACCGACCAGTTCGCTCCCACAGAGAGGGACTCCTCAGGGTGCCGTCGGCCAAATTATGTCGGCTGGCGATACCCAGGGGGAGAGCCTTCTCTGTGGGAGCCCCTGCCCTTTGGAATGAACTGCCCACGGACATACGCAAGATCTCTGACCTCCGAGTTTTCCTCTGTGCTCTTAAGACCCTGCTCTTCCGACAGGTAGGGCTAGCTTCATAATTAAGTTTTAAATTTGGAGTTCTTAAATTTTTTGGGTTTTTTAGCTAATTTTTGCCTTAAATGTAATACTTTTAAGAATTTTTAAATTTAAATTGTGATATTTGTATTGTGTTTTACCTGGCTGTACACCGCCCTGAGTCCCTCGGGAGAGGGGCAGTATAGAAATAAAATTATTCTTATCCTTTTGAACCAAGGTACCTCAAGTAAGTTAATTTACAGAATGTATCCAAAATCTGGGGCCTATGGCTCTCATGGAAATTTTATAAAACATTTTATGATATAAACATTATCATAAAACAGTTTCTGACACAATGTCATAAAACATTTCCCGATGTCTGATTGTGCCATGTAGTTCAACATGGGCTATTTTCAAGGTGGATCCATCTCTGAATATATCTCAGCTTTTCCAGTGAATGCAGTGCATTAGAAATTATGTCACTGTTGAAGGCAGTGAGGATCTGGTAAGGAAATGTCTCTGAAAAGAAGACTCAAGGGGTCAAGGCTTTTCTAGTATCAATTAAATCAATTAATAAATACATTAATATAAATAATGTAATAAATTAAATCAATTAGGAAAAACTTGAATTAAATCAGCACTGCTAGGTTAACAATTCAATTGATGAGCTATTACAAATATTAAGGCTCTGTTAGTTAAGGAAAACCCTTAAGGATCATTTAGTTGTTTGGCCTTACCTGAGACAGCAAGTCAGGATTTTAAGATGTTTTTTAAAAAAACGTAATCAGTTTCATTCAAATTGCTAATCCAAACCTCTGAGCAAGAATATAAGCAAAGACAAAGGATCGTGTCATATAGGAAAGAAAAGTGTAAACCCCAAAACAAAATCAAAACTATCTGCAACATAATGCAATAGTCGAGATAAATCCACTGGAGCCATTCAGAGGTTAAACAAAACATTTCAATCTCTCTCCTTAGTTCAGATTGCCAAGAGTTGTGAGCTCAGTAGCCTCTGGAAGGCCCTGGTTGCCATCCCTGCGATTTATTCATTTTTTAAGACTGCCAACCAAGCTTTCCAGCTGTAGCATTATTTCTTTGCCATTCGTTTTTCCCAAAGGCCTGCCAATAACAGCAGCAGAATGCAAAAAAATAAAATAAAATGATGGTCCCTTTCCAACCTGAGATTTATTGTTCAATAAAAATCTACTTCTTTCACAATAGGAATTTTAAAGGTATTATATTTATATAATCATTGTTATTATTGGTACAGTAATTGGTATTAAACATTCTAGGACTGATCTAACAAGTCAAAGGGCCAAAGGGGGTTTATGAGTTTCCCCTTATTATATTCACCCATCTGTGTTCGTTATTTAAAGACTAACGTTAAAGCCTAACCTCAGAGAGATGAGAGGCATAGAATGTTCTGCTGTGGTAGGAAAGGATAATCTGAGATGGGTAACCTCTACTCCCAGTTAGAGATAAAGGAAGAGATACAATTTAACTTTAATTCTTTTTAAAATTATTTATTGTATTATTATTATTATTATTATTATTATTATTATTATTATTATTATTATTATTTAACACAATTAGTACATTAATTAGTATATTTGGCAGAAGAGTATTATAGTGTTTGACTAAAGATTATTAACACTCTGATGATTTAGATAATTTTTACTTTTAAACGTAAAAAACAAGTCTATGACAACGTTAACCATGATTTCAAAAGTGATAATGTTCAAAGAAGCATGATCTTGCATAAAATTTACATCAAAAACTGAGAGTTGCATTGGTAAACAACAGCAAAATGTATTAAGTTATTGATGATATAATGTAGGTTTCTATCAAGCTTAATATTTAATATTGAGGTCTTTACTGTATTACACCTATTGTTCTGTATGCATACGAGGAAAAAAAGAAAAAGTTAAAAAGCTATTTGGTTTCTGACTTTTCCTTTGTTCCTCAAACAATTTGCAACATTTGCAAGAATTTAGACCCTCTTAGAAACCTTATGGTAGGTGTCTGTATTTGACAAGCTATATAAAATATTATATATATATAGGGGAACATTCTTGCTTGAATTTGGTTAAACTTCTGTTATGAATATTTACAGTTAATTTTTTCATTGCCACATATTCTTCAAGCTTAAAATCCTATTTAAATATAATCAGAATTGCGTTTTTCTTCCAAAGTTGGGAAAAACTTATTTTTAGAAATTATATTTCTTATTCTGGGTTTATACCTAGTAAAAATGGTTATTTCACTTCAAATTTAAATTCTAAAATGTTCTGTATTTTATGTATATCTTATCCAATACTTTTGAAGTTTTTCTAGCATGTCCTCCCATGTGATAAAATGTTCTGTTTCCTAGCATTCCCAATATTTATCTCTGGATGTTTTGTCCATCTGGGAAATTATTGACAGTGATCTATAGTTTTCAATGTGCCTCGTAAACATGCTTAATTCTCCGAAAAACATAATTTCCAAAGTTCCAAAGTTCCAAAATTTCCAAGATATTTATAAGCAAATTTTTAGTTCCCATAATTTGTGGCACAGACTCCACTATTTCGAAGGATTTTTTTTCCTGCTTTAAAATACCAATGTCAAAAAGAAAGATGTAATGGCATAATTTTAATGTAGCCGTTGTTCTTGCTTTGTTTGCTACCATCAAAAAAAAAATCTTTTTGCTTAGTTGAGTAGACCCCTTCATACCCAACAGAGTCCAACTTCCACCTTCTGATCTTCTGTATCATTTTGGCAGTGTGAAGATTAAAGCTTATCCAATTAGCCACCCATGGCTTTTGCCAAGTTAATCGCTTAAATCTTTGAAATCTTCACAGCAGAGTGGAGTGTGCAGATATCTTTTGATTACAGGAGCAGATTTAACTAATTAAAAGGCTTAGCAATTGCCCAAATATAAAAGACGTTGAGGGTTATAATTGAGAATTGTGCCTCATTTTAACAAATGGCAGCTTATCTTCTCAAGTATATTGTTTCACCGGTTCATGCTTATAAACTTTCCCAAGTAATGCAGATTAGTCTTTCAGAATTTTTCCTTGACTATGGCCACACAATGAGGCTTTCATTTAGCAAGGATTTTAAAAATTAGTCGTCTACATTATCATACTTTCTTCTATGGATAGTAAAATACATAGTCTTTGAAGCTTTCTAAGTGTTTCAGCTTGAGTTCACCAATTGTTATAAAATGTGATTTATGCATTTTGAAAACCCCCGATTACAAATAACAAAAGACAGAAAGTTCCAATGTCTCATTCCAAGATGCTATTTTAATATTTGCTGAGATGGTTTATCAGAATATAGTCTGATTACCTACTTTCAACAGACCATAATTTCTCAAATGCTTGGAGCAAGGTTTTCCAACATACTAAGTGAATCTATTCTGCCCACATTCAATTACTATTAAAATATGATAGATGTAAATTATATTGTATTATATTACCTGTAGCTGGTTGAATTGTTTTCACCAAAAGATTTTCAGTAATGCTTTAGGCACTCAGTTTCGTTCTGGAATAGCTCTACAACTCTATTGGGGCTCTATAAATAATGGTGGTTTCCAGGAATATGATTCTAATGAATACTGGTGCTGCTATTATTGGTGTTTTATTTGGACAAGAAACAAGCATCATGAGTTTAAAAAACAGATTACAGTAGTAAGAGATTGGAAATAGGGACAATTGTTATGAATATATTATCCTTTCAGAGAAGTAAAGAACAGGACATCTAGAAATGGGATGGTTCATTGAAAAGCAAATGAAATGACTGTTTTTATTAAAATGACTAAGTTTCATTAAGGTAGATTTTGAAGGACATACAGGTAAATGTACTGATTATTGACTAAACCTCAAGCAAGATTAATTTTGAGAATGCTTTCATAGTTCGATATTATTAATAAATATTAATAATACGGAATTAGGAAAGCATTCTCAAAATTAGTCTTGTTTGAGGTTAGATTTGTTAAGACTGTGGGCAGCTTACAAAATATCAAATACATAACTAGCATAGTATAACACAAAATAGTCTTGACAAGAGAACCACACTAATATTCAAAAAACAAGAAAGAGGCTTCACAAGCAATCTAATCTCAGGCTTGAGTACACAGCAAGGTCTTAAGTGATTTCCGGAACACTTACAAGTGGGGGGGCCATACTAACCTCTGGGGCTGCTATTCGAGAGAGTAGTGGTTGCAATACAGAAGGCATGCTTCCTCATTTCCATAAAATGACACTTTGAGCATACCCTTAGCCTAAATATAGCAGGTAGGCAGAAGCAACTAGAAACAAGCAGTTCTTCAGATAACTAGACCTTATGAAGGCTTTATGGTGATAACCAGCACCTTGAAGTGCACCTGGTTGCTTGACTGGCAATCAATGCAGCTCACCTAGCAAGGAGGACCCTTGGGCTTAATAAGAAGTATCTGTTACTGTCATGGCACTTTCAACCAGCTGTAGCTTCCAGATGGTCATGAACAGCAATGTTCGAATTGTGAGCTGACTCACAGTTGAGGAGGGGGAGGAGGGTCACCCGACAGCAAGCCTCCGCCGCGGCTAGCAATCATTTCTCAGCCAGCCCATATTTCCAAAAATATCCAAAAAAATAAAAGGGGCGAGGGGCAGGGCCAACCAGTGATGGGACAGGGAGCCACAGCAGAGGGCCCAAAGAGCCGCATGCAGCTCCGGAGCCGCGGGTTGCCGATGCGCGTTCTAGTCTTTGACTTCCTAACTACTGTTAAAAATAGAGAGAGTGCCATCACCATGTTAGTAGTCAACACTGAAGAGGGCTTGTACAGAAAGAAGCAGCTACCTGCTTTAATCAGACAAACATCAAATCAGTCCTGCACTTAAAATTCCTCTAAATTGGACAGAGGAACATAGGGTTCTTCAGAGATGTTTTCAAGACTATGTCACTGAATTCACTGCTCATCTGCAATACTATACCTTATTACATCAGGTTCTGCGTTTTCATTTTGGAAAGATGCTTGGAGTTTTCTGTGTGCTGTGAAAAGTTCATCTACTAAAATTTGCCGTCTTTCTCCTTCGATCTGGGTTCTGCAAGAACTGGATTAAGGATCATTGTTGGATAAAATAATGAATAAAATAGCTAAAGAATGGCACACATGTACTCATCTATTAACAGAACAGAATATTATATCCTGACTAAGGAAACTCAAGTAAAATCTAAGCTTCTGACAAACATCACAAGACATCTCTTTTGCAATAATACTGTTTTTATAAAGTGTGATACTTTTATGACACTTATAAAATAAGAACTATAAAATAATTTGCACACGGAAAAGGGCTGTAAAGGTGAAAGAAGTCTGTCTTCAATTCAATACTTAGGACAGATTATAAAATGAACACATGTATTTAAAAAATAAACCATGATAGCAGATGCCATGAAAGTCTTTGCAGAAGCTGGATTCACACACACTATTGCCAAAGAGGATGTCAATTTATCATGCAATTACACTCCATGTATATCAGAAAGGATTGCAGGATTGTAAAAGTCCCAACATTGTTTTTGCAGCCCTCAGAATCTACTCAAATTGGGCAGAACCATTTTTAGATTTGGGAAAGATTTTAAGAGGCAAAACTAGCACCTTAAGTTTTGCAAAAGCTTAGGGTACCCATTTCACACTATTAAAATGTTAGCTGCTCATAAAAGTGGATATACTTTGGAGTACAACTTGGCAGGTATTTTCAAGAGAAGCTCTGAACACGAAATGAAAAGTAAATCGAATAAAGATAAAATACTTTCTGTATTTGGGTTTTCCCCAAATTGAGGGATTTTTTAAAAGCACATGTGTATATCAGCTAGGTGTTTTCCAAAATAAAATGAACCATAATTGTCATATTGCCCTCCCAGTTACAACTGTTTACATGGATACATCTGACGTGTTGATACAGAGTGAAGCAACAGGTCTTTCAGACGATTTGTTTTTTCTTCAAGATTTTGCAATAAAGACCTGACTCCAACACTGGCCTAGGGAGGGAGAAAGAAAGATAAAACACAGTGCAGCTTATCTGTTTCCCAAGGACAGAATAACATCCAAAGGAAGGAATAATGAATACAAATCAAATTCTTTACTACTGAATTTCATATTCCTGAACTGTTCCCGATTTTTAACTTCGATACAGCTTTTCCTTTTCTGTGACAATGACTGTGTGTGTATTATCCGCATGAAAATGACAGCTCTGCTCTGTGGATTTGGAAAAGGCCAAATTCTATTTTAAGGACTAGCAAGAAGCCGAAAATTCTCAAGAGAGTTTTAAAAAAAAAGTCTCTAAAGTTTTCTTCACAGAATGCAGAAAGCTTAACTACAGAAATTGATGAGGGGAACCAATCTTCTCAGGAGTACAGCATGATTGGATGAGGGCTGGTCCTCACCTACAATGCCTTGTGCACTGAGGGGGAAACTGCTTCTAAATCATCCTTCAGTAGCCTCATTCTAGGTCAGGGTTCTGAATGTAGCAGAGCAGCTTCCTTGCTGAGATCCACTGAGAGTCAAAGGGCAGCAAATTGCACAAAGGTGGTAAAAACTGACAGTTAACACAGTTAATGTACAGGAATTACTAGAATCTCATGTCACTATAATCTAAGATAATGAAGCAATGCCATCCACTTGCAAGACCTTTCCCAGGCTATAACTCATTGTGAATCAGCACTTCCATGGCCCTCCAGTCTCTTGAAACATAAAACAACAGTCTGTTTTGGACACATTTATCTAAAAGGGGCTATGGCAGACTCATTATCAATCTACATTAAACACACTTACTTGGATTTATGTCCAAATAAGTTTGCTTATGAAAGCAGATTTGTATATTATGACAGAGCAGCTGGAAGTTAAAAGGGAAACAGAGCCCACATTCTACTAAAAACCAGAAACCACTCAATACAAGAGCAATTTCAACTGCAGGACTGTTGGCTTCATACAATAAAAACTAGCCAACCATATTTTAGCCTGATATGTTATACAAACCTGGTTCTTCTTTTAATGTTTTTATTATAATGTGTTCAGTTGTGAGTGGTTATTTTTTTTACATTTCCATAGAAAGGTAGTCATCAGTCAACCAAAAGAGGGAAAGAGCGGGAGAAAGGCACATGTATTTTGCCATCTCCATTCTTCTCTTTGTCTTTTAATTTCAATTCCATTTTTTCGAATTATTTTTTTAAAGCAGAAGTGGCAAAATCTCAGGAAAAACAAGTTATTATTGACATTTACCCTGCTTGGCTAACAGAGCGGAAGGGCATTTTTATTAAAACCTCTAGCCATGGAAAGCATGACTGATCTGAGCGTTTCTCAATATCAACCCATAACATCAACTGTTATGGCAATATATATAGTCATGGTTTCAGGTCTGTTTATGCTGGATTCAATTTCTGGCTCTCTAATCATACTTAGGCAGTAACTCCAAGTCTATGAATATACAAAGCTTTCTTGACAAACTCATTTGTCAGCTGTGCAAAACATTTGCAAGCTAAGACAACATTCTTATAGAAGAGAAAGCTACATGAGGAGCATTTGTTGATCCTGACTGTAGACATATGCAATCACACTAGTACTTGCTTTAATTGCACATTATAAAAGTAAATCCAGTCAGAAAGTTGTAGTCCCAATGGAGGAAAGGAGATGATCAAGAAATAATCAAATTATCCTGAAACTATAAGATCTATACATATACTTCTAAAAGTGGTATATCCAGATCTAGAGTTGGGATCTAAAGATTGCTACACACATATTTCCTAAAGCAAGGATTTCTCACAAAACCTTGTGTGATTAATAGAAACACACTGTATGCTTTTCCGTACCAATCTGGACTCTGCTTTAACAACCAGAAATTAATGTCCCTAATTATTATTGTTATTAATTAGATGTGTATGACTGTTTCAAGGTTAATAGCGAAGATTCACTTCCCAAATGTTGTCCTGCAAAAAAAATGTGCTTTTTTGCTATAAAGCTATAATAGCAACAGTTAATAAATATTCCTGAAACATTTTAAAAAGAGCATTTTTTAATACTTATTGCATTCATTGTTAGAAGTAGTTAACAGGATCAACATTTTTTTAAAAGGTCAGTTTCTTTAAGCTTCTGAGTTCATGATTTCCTTTTGTAATCTTTGCTGCGTACTGACATGGGAACTGTAATGAACATCCTTTTGGAAACTTGTCATGGGAAGGCTTTACCACAGAAAGGGAGCTCTACATCAATCACAAAGAATACATTGCAATCACAATGCATTCACTTACTGTTGATACTAAAAATTATAGCAAAATCTAAAGCCAAGAAGATGGGCTGCTCTGAGGCAGGCAATACCTTTGTTGTACTTTCACCACTCCTCTGATATCTGTTACGTTCTTGAATTTTTTCAGCGATCTCTTGTGCAATATGGCAAGCAGAATCATACAACAACAACCTTAAAAAAAACAGTGACAATATTAAACAGCAGTAAAATCTCCTTATTCCTAACACAGCTTTTATTACATGCCTCGGTTTCCTCAAAAGAAGTTTTCTTCCATTTCTTCTCGTTTACTTTCATTCCAAGCAGCCATTGTAGCAAATAATCTACTAAAATTAGACTTCAATCACTGTGAAATAAAGGAAATTGTGTGTGTGTGTGTCCATCCTGCCAAATGAGTACAAAATGAGGTGTTTGATTTATATCGTTAATGTAAGAGTTTACTTTTTAAACATCTATAATGGAGGTTGCCAAGGCTACCGTCTATACAAAAACTGTTCCTACAGTAAATTGTCCTTATACAATAATTGTTCATACATGTGATTGTCCTAATACACATATGCCCATTCCATGGAGTTATACATTGATATAAATATGGCAGGTATGCCCAAAGCTATGAAGGATGAACTGGTCTTCCATTCCTCCCCATCCTATAAAGGCCAACCTATGAGGTCCAAGAATGAAAAAGTGATGTCTTCTTTTAATTCACTAAGCCATTATATCACCGTTAATGGCAATAATTGCAACCAAACATTTCCTGTAATTAGTGACCTCTTTTTCCTCTAGGAATTTTGGCATATGGTAAATCTTTTTGAAAGTTTTGTCAAGAGTCTCCGACAGCAAGATGGGCAGCATACGAATTTAGTAAATCAGATTTTCTTGTATGAACTTCTCTTTTACATTCTACCACATTTGAATAGACCTGGACTTTAATGTGGCCATTCCAAATAATTTAATTTATTCTTCATCATCCATTATTTTGCAGACTATCTGTATTGGGGGGGGGGGGGAGGATTGTCACTGTCTTGCAGCATGACCATTTATGCTTAAATTTCATGTTAAATTGCCTGATATACCCTATAGAATTATCTAATATGAAACAAAGTATATTCTTTCAGCAGCAACATCCAAGTTCTGAGACTTCAACTCTTAACCATGATATTATGACCTCCATGCTTGATAGCAGACATGAGATTCTTGTGGATTGTTTCCATAAAACATAACAATGACCATATAACCCTAAATAAATTTAGTTTTGACATATCTGTTCCCTGAACATTTCCCCAAAGTCCGGAGGATTAATAATCACATTACACCATAATATGGTTTATAAAACACATCATTGAACACTGTAATTCTGTCACTATGTATATTAATTCAGACACTAGATCTTTAAAATGGACCAGGGAGATACTTCATACAATCTATAGTTTAGAAATGTGCTTTGTGAAAAATGGCCAAAACTTCGTAATTTTTTTTTCTTTTTTCAAAATCTTCAAAATTTCAAATGTTTTTGAACTCTGGGTAGGTTGAAAGTTCAGGTAATCCTCAACTTACAACACAATTGAGCACAAAATGTATGCTGCTAAGTGAGAAATTTATTAAGTAAGTTTGACCCATTTTATAACTGTTCTCTCTACATTTGTTAAGTGAATCACTGTAGATTTTAAATTAGTAAGACGGTCGTTAAGTGACTCTGGTTTCCTCATTGACTTTGCTTGTCAATGAAGGTCACAAAAGGGGATCATATGACTCCAGGACATTGCAACCATCATGTGAGTAAGTTGTCAAACATCCAAATGTAAATCATGTGATTTTTTTTCAGTGCTGTGGTAATTTCGGTCACTAAATGAACTGTTGTAAGTTGAGGACTACCTGCACTAAAAAAGAGAGTATATGTTATAGAAAACAAATGTTGAAGATTCTAATACAAACATAACATAGATCAGACATAGTTTAGATGCTTAAATGATTTCATCATATCCTAAGCAAACGGTCCGTATACAACTTTGTCCTAAAACAGACATTGCAGGAAGAAAGCTGTGCAACCTGTGATATCCCAAAAGTCTAACAGTATCCTTTTAAACTAACCATTTTTATAAAAGGCATAAACACATATAAAATTTAACAAAAACCGTTAGTCCAAAAACTTGCTACCACACCCAATTTTTGTCTTCAAAGTGAGAAGGTTTAATTTCTTCTTCTTCTTCTTTTTGGTAAGCATTCACTCTAGCCTACATTTTTGGAGTTTTCTGATGGTCATCCATCCAAAGGTTTGACCCCACTTTGTTTTCAAAACCAATCAGCGAAGATAGGTGTTTACACTAAACTTGCCAAAAGGGATACCTATAGTTTTAGGGAAAGTACCCAACTGTAAAAATTCTACATCATTGAAATCCCTGCCTGGAAAACTTTGCATCCATGCAGCTCTTCCCAAAGGTGCTTTTTTCAAGAGGCAACTGGTTTTCAAGAGGCAAACTTTCTGGTTTTTCTTTGAAGACGTTTCGCTTCTCATCCAAGAAGCTTCTTCAGCTCTGACTCAGGAAGTGACAGGAAGAAGCTTCTTGGATGAGAAGCGAAACGTCTTCAAAGAAAAACCAGAAAGTCCACTTGCCAAGCATGACCTGAATGACTGAGAATCTCTATAGACACTATGCAGCTCTTCTCTCCCGCTACTACACCAAAATGATACAGGAGATTGAATTTCCCTGCCTGTAGAAATTCTCCCATTTTTTTAAACCGAAGGAGAAGAGCAGAATAGAGGTGGTGGACGGAAGGTGACTCCTGTTTTATAGCAATGTTTCTCAATCTCGTCCTCTTTTAAAGGGACGCACTTCAACTAACTGGGAGTTCTGGGAGTTGGACTCCACCCCTCCTAAAGTTGCAGAGATCGAGAGCCCCGCCTTCCGGGAAAAGGTGCGCACTTCATCTGCCCGCCCCGTTCGCCAGGCACTTTCAGCAGCAAAGGGAGAGGCAGGGAGCATGCGCAATGGCGAAGAGGCGGAGCAGCAAGGGGGGGCGTCGTCCTCCACGGGCTGCCCTCAGCTTCGAGCCGTTTGTCTCCCCGATTTTGCTCAATCTGCCTGTTGGGATTCGCCACCAGCCTGCCCAAATGACCCTCCGCGCCCTCCGTCACTCACCAAGGCTCCGCAGCCATCGCGGCGCCCGGCAAGCTCAGGCTTCCCGAAGTCTATCTGTTCGGTCGGGAACTCTTCCGGCTCCGATCACCTGACTACGAGGCGTGCCGAGGCTCAATTTGTGACAGCGCGCCTCTCGGATGATTGGCGGTGGCGTCTTCCAGATGGAACTGGACTGAGTCGCAGATTTTTTTTTTTAAAAAAAGCGCGTGGCTGTTCAGACTTTCGAGGCTCTGGGTTAGGAATCTAGTCTCTAAAATTGCTTAATCGTAATCTGCATCCTGGACGGGGATCCCTGGTTTAAGGAGACGTTTCCTGTTTGCATCTTTTCATACAGAGAAGCAAATGGGGAATCCAAAAAGGTGGAGTTTGTGTTGCTCACAAACATGATGTTTGTAAATTCAGGACCTTATAAGAATGTATCTAATTTGGAGCCACGTTTCATATTCCTAATAAGGCATTAATCAAAGTTTGTACCTTAACGAATCATTGGCTTTCAATATTTCAGAAAAGTTGTTTTTATCTGCCCGGAAACCAAATTTTGGATCAGAATCATGGGAGAAATGAGACATTCAGTGGCTAGCTGAACTGCCCACCTCAAAATAAAATAAAATAAAATAAAATAAAAAAACCAAAACCCAAGAGCATTGCTCTCCAAGATTGAACCCTTTTTTCCCTAACTCTTCCCTCTGCATATGGCTTTGTAGGGCCCAAATCTGAACCATGAGGTTGGTGAAAAGTCAAGGATAGTACTAAAACTTAATGCTCATTATAGGCATTGAATGGAGCCATGGATATGAAAACCCATAAAAAACCAGAGGAGCTATGAAAACAATGACTGGTTGAGTCCCACTGAAATGAACGCATGGCTTGTCTCCACCTTATATTGGCCCAAGTGCTTTAATTCACCCATAAAGAATATTGGTACAATACTTAGCAATCCCAGACAATTGAAATTATAATAATAAAGCACAGTTTCTATTATTGATTTGTCATCAGAAATGAATGGCATCCCATTAGAGGCACTGTAGCTTAATGATGCTGGAGATGGTCTCTCTCCATTGGTTGAAGTCCTAGCACTGTGTGCTGGGTTGGGCTCCGATCACATGCCTCAGTTTCTGCCCAGCTAGCAGTTCAAAAGCATGTTCTATGTGAATAGATAAATAGATACTACTTTGATGGGGAGACAAATTGGTGCTTCGTGCAGGCAGTCAGATTTCTGCCAGCTCTGAATCTTCCCAGTTGCAGTGCCTTTTTGCAAAGCAGTTCCAGGGAGAGTGGGAGCTTTGGATGACACTGCAGGAAGATCGACTCATCTTTCTTTCTAGTATGAAGCCATTTCATTCTCCTGTGGCGCACTGTGGGAAACACGCAAGTATTTCCTACAACAGTAACTCTCCTGACTAATGTAACAACACCATATGATATAATAATAATAGTAATTGTCCACTGGTGATCCAAACTGCCGACTTTGCAACGACAAAGTCGAAACTCTTTCACATTTAATATGTGAGTGCAGCAAAATTGTGCAAACTGATTACAAAGCTAGACATGACCAAGTTGCTAAATTAATCCACTGGTCATTATGTAAAAAATACAACTCACCTGTATCTGAAAACTCATGGGAACATAAAGTGGAAAAGGTGGTTGAAAATTAGCTGAAGATCTTGTGAGACTTTTGAATACAGACAGATTTGGAACACAACACACCAGATATCACAGTTGTTGAAAACCGAAGCGTACAATTTATTGATATTTCTGTACCAGGAGACACCAGAGTCAAAGAAAACTGGAAAAAAATCATGAAATATTGCGACCTGGCTATCAAAACTAAGTGATTATAGATGAAACATGTGACAGTGATACCCATTGTCATCGCGGCACTTGGCACAATGTCCACCAGCGGATAACAACAGCAGAACTGCAAAAAACTGCGCTACTCAGAATAACTTACATTTTAAGAAGATACCTGGTCGATACCTCGGATGCTGGCAGCAACCCGTATCAACCATCAGAGCCAGTCAATGATATTTGTGATACTTTTTAAATGTTCAGTTGACTGAGTTTCATGTTTAATGAATAAAACTGTATAATAATAATAATGGCATCTCATGATGCAATGCTGGCCATCGAGCAGCAATTCTAAGGCAGGAGCATAGATCTTTGCATTCTGTATAATATTGGCTTCCAGCAGATTGGTGAGGAGATAATAATATACTCCTTTTTCCCTATGTACATATAAGATATCTATATAGAAAGGGTTGTTTAGCAAGCTGAGGAAACTTAGCAAAGTTTCTGTACTATATCATTGTATTGTTAGTCACTCTTGCTTGCCTCTTATCATATTCCTATTCAAAACAAGTAAGATAAAGAAGACAATGCAAGCTTCCTAATCTACCGGTATCAGCTATTGACCAGATATATCATCAAGCCATCCTCAGGTATTTTCTTCTAAAGACTCTGTCATCCTAAAAATATCCTTGGCAGAGGGTCCCCTGTCTAAAGTTATGATCAAGTCTGTATAAAAAGATGGGCAAGCAAGTCATCTCAGGTTTTATTGTTTATACTTTCTATCTTTATAAAAAGGGATTATAAAAAGGCAAAACCACCAAGCAGGTTAACTTGTTATGTAAAATGAAAATATCTGGGCACAATTATCTAGAACCATGATGGTATGACCTAAAAAACTTTTAGGAATGGGGGAAGAGTTACATAGGATAGATAAGAATTTTCTGTTGTCTTCACTTGCTCAGTATATTCAAAGGCATGTTTTCTTGCTTAAAATAATGTTTACCAGGGGTCTTTCCAATGCATAAGTTAAAAAGTAAGGAATACAGCTATGTCTTTCCAAACAATAAATCTATTAATATACTGTTCAGAGTGCCACACATTCTAAACCCAATCAATGGTCCTCAGAAAATTCATTGGGGAAGTTCAAAGCTTAACGTAAATCAGGGGTGTCAAGACCCGCGGGCCAAATCCAGCCCACAGGGTGGTTAGATCTAGCCCCACGGTGTCTCTGCCAGCAAAAACAGAGGTTGGGAGGACCAGGTACAACCCTCCCAGGCTCCATTTTCAGCCACGACAGCCTCCAGCCCTCTACCAGTGAAAACGGAGCTCAGGGAGGCTATCACGGCTGAAAATGGAGCCCAGGTGGGCCACTTGCAAACTGCCCCGGCTCCATTTTTGCTGGCGGAGGGCTGCAGGAGGCCATCACAGTTGAAAACAGCCTGGGAGGACCACGCACAACCCTCCCAACCTCCATTTTCACTGTCAAAGGCACCAAAGGCCAGTCCTCCACTGTTAATGAAGCCTCGACAAATGACATTGAGCTGGTCATGCCCACCCCAGCCATGCCCACCCCACCCTCAGAGGTCAAACACAATCCTGATGTGGCCTTCAATGAAAATGAGTTTGACACCCCTGACTTAAATGGATAGTGTTAGGCATGCCCTCTAATAACATTTCTACTAAAGACCCTTTCACCTACTTCAGCAATCTGACTCCTTGAACATGTCAAAAAGGTAGCACAAAAGTCTGGAAGTAAATTGTTCTTGAAAGCAGGCATTAATAATGGCTTCAAAGTCAAAGTGCTACTTGCAAGTTAATGTGCTCTTAAAATAAAGTAGAATTAGCTCATCTAATCTTGTTTCCCATCTGGTTTCCCTGGGTGGGCTGACAGACTAAGTCTGATCTGAAAGTGGATTTAGAAATGACAGGTTACAAGAATGATATGGAAAGAGATGCTACACTGTGCATAAAAAATAAATGGCTGATGTCTTAACAATTAAAAGGGATATACAAATAACTAACCAAGTGAGTTACTGTCAGCCCTTCCAAGTAACCAAGATTGGACATACTGTATAACTAGCAGAACTACCCAGTCGTGAAATCCAAATTATTTTACTACTGGTACTGTGGGCGTGGCTTGGTGGGTGTGGCAGGGGACGGATACTGCAAAATCCCCATTCCCTTCCCACTGCTGGGGGAAGGATATTGCAAAATCTCCATTCCCACGCCACTCCATTCCACTCAAAATTTCCACTACCGGTTCTCCGAACTGCTTAAAATTTCCACTACCGGTTCTCCAGAACCTGTCAGAACCTGCTCGATTTCACCCCTGGAACTACCCTGATTCCCCTAAAATAAGACATCCCCTGATAATAAGCCCAATCAGGCTTTTGAGCGCATGGCAATAAGGCCAAGCGCTTATTTCAGGGTTCAAAAAATATAAGACAGGGTCTTATTTTCGGGGAAACACAGTAATTCTGTTTTATAATAAGGCTACATTAACAAAATCTTGCAGGTCTGAAGGTACTATTAACAAAATCTTGCAGATCTGCTACTATTAACTGCTTAGGGTGGTTTCCTAACTTTTTTTTTTCTCTGAATGTTAAGCCACTGTGGGTTCCTGCCTCTTTTCTCTGATTGTTTCTTAGGCAGCATTTCTTCTCCTTGTTCCCCAGGATAAACCACACATTGTATTACTGTGATGATTTTCTTATTTTGCATTTATAAAAGAGGCTCGCTCAAAGCTTTGAATAATTTTGTGAGAAGGGATAAAAAAGAATAGAAATCAGGTTCTTGTATATTATTTGAAGGAAATTAAGATCAAGATTTTAAAAGAAAGGAAAATAAAGTTGATATAACAATTTTTCTTTTATTCTTTTTTACCGTTTATATTCTTTTTTATTCTTTAAATTATAATTTAACAACATTACTATTAAAAAGATACAATTTGGTTTCTTGTCCTTAAAAGTAACAAGTGGTTTTCTTTAAAGAAAGCATGCTTTCAATGGCAAACTGAACAATTTATCTTTCTTTCCACTCTGAAATTCATATTGTACATACTGACTGCAGGATTCCTGACAGCTTCTCAGGAAAGTGTCCTTCACAAATTGAAAAGCAGTAAATTAAATATTTGTCTTTAAGATTCTAAAAAACTAGACTTTTTGTTCAGACAGTGTTGATACACAGGGCTGCCTACAGATAAATAAACACACAACACTACCATACTGTATCTATTCAGACCAATAAATAATGTCAAAGTTACATTTATAAAGAAAGATAGAGCAGCAGAAGAG